AAAAATTTTTTTTTTTTTTTTATTTTTTTTTTTTACAAAATACTCTGACTTTCAGGAGAAGAGGCCTCTGCTCCAGAGTCTAAACTGAGACCAGGTCTCTGCCTCAACACACCTCTGTCCAGCTGCAGTCAGGTTCTCCCTCATGAAAATCTGGGCATATGGACACCTCCTCTCTCCTGGGGATAGATTCCCCTCAACTAAAATATTTGCAGGATAACTTACAAACAAACCAGCCAAAGCCTGGCCAAAAGGCTGCACATGTTGCAGTAATTAAAAGGAGTGAGGAGCTCCCACTAGGCTATGCGTAGGCACTCCCTTTATGGAAAATCTCTGAAAATCAGACACAAAGGCAGCAGATAATTTCCTCACTGAGCACCCTGGGAATTCTTGATTTCCTCCCTTGGCTATCTTGAATTCCACACCCCACAGCACATCCTCCCGAGAAGAATCAAAGGCATCCATAAAATGTACGCATTCGATCAGTGGTTCTGAAAGGAGTGCTGCAAGAGCCACAGCAGTGCAATACAGGATCCCGTGTGAAGAGGGAATTGCTCTCCTCCCCACTCTGCACCTGCCTCAGCTACCCCAACAGCACCTGCAGCTGCTCCTCTGCGGACTGCCGCTACTGCTGCTGTTGCCTTCCCTGCCCCCAGGCAGCCCCTGGGCCAGCCTCCCCCATGCTCCCAGCAGCATGCTCTGCTGCAAGCAGGCAGGCTGTTGGATGCACCGCTCAGCTTGTCCCCTTCATTTCTTCCACACTCAGAGGGACTACAGGGATGGTCACCAGCGTGTGAAATCCTGTAGGAGCAACCTGAACACCAGGGGCTGCCCTTGCCCCCTGAGCTACAGACCTGGGGTTGAAAGGGGACAGAGAGGGGAAAGAGCAGGGCACGTCAGAGGGAGGTCTTGCCCCCTCTGCCCTTAAGTGGCACCAGGCAGCTAGATTAGTAGTTCTCAACTGTTTAAGCCTCAAGGCCCCCCTCCAGATATTTCTGAATTTGGATCTAGCTCAGTGATTTTCAACTCAGGTGCTGCAAAATTCAGAAAAGGTATGGAGGGGGCTTGAGGATAAAAGCCTTGAGAGCCACTGGTATAAAAACTAACCCTTTGCTTAAAGAAAGATTTTTTTAATGTCAATTTTTTTAATAATAAATCTCAGCGTGGTGTGATTTCCTCTGGCAAGGGAATGGAATATATGTTTTGGAAGAAAAAAAAATATTTAGATCTTTATAGACGCACACACACACACACCCCCACCCACCCCTTTTTGGGTGTAAGAATGAAGTGTCCTGCCAATTTTAATCCAGAAAAAAGTGTGTCCCAGGTATCAAAAGTTTGGGAAATACTGCATTAAATGTTGATTTTTACAGCCTCATTTTTGGTTGGGCGGCTGTAGGTACCTTAGACTCATGGTCAAGAAACTATGCTGCCTGTAACTGGATAAAATGTGAGCAAGATGCCTTGCAGCATCCAGATGCCTTCATTGTCTTACTGGCCATCTTTTTCTGGCTGAAGGAACAGCATCAGCCATACATTAGGAAGAGAAATATACAGCTAGAGTGCTTCATTTCAATAGCTGGTGGTCTAGGAGCAGGAAAATAAAAGTAGTAGAGGTTTTACTTTTTCTTGCTCTTATTTTTCTTTCTTCTAGGTATTGTCTTTTCGCTGCCTTTGCCTTTTGACATTTTTCCCACAAAAAGTGAGGCAGTACAAAGCATGATTGTGGGATCACGTTTGTGTTCTGGGGCCATCACTAGAGACCTGTGTGATTTGACCTTTACTACCAGTCGCATTGTCTTTACAAGTATTAGAGCTTACAGTCTATAACGGTTTAAGAAAGTTGTTTTGCTGCATACATGTAACATACTATTTTTGTTCTTATTTTTTGGTATCTCTAGTTTGTATACATCTTGCTGGCACTGGCAGGGGGCTGTGCACATACCTAAATGAGATAAAAGGGAAGGTCATTTTATACTGTGTCCATGCCGTTTTCTAAGCCTCTCGCATATGACAAAACCGCACTTTCACCACCCCCAGATTTGACCAAGTTCAAAAGAGACTGCTTGGACTCACTGAAAAACTCTTAACCTCTGTTCAGGAGGATGGGAATTTAAAATATCTTGCTTTTCATTGCAGGCATCTGTTCCACAAATCTTGTGTAGATCCCTGGCTGCTAGACCATCGCACCTGCCCTATGTGTAAAATGAACATTCTAAAAGCTCTAGGGATTCCGGTAAGCATGGCACGTGGCCGACCAGCCACAAAGTGAAAACCTTTCCTGCTTGGGCACATGCCGATCTGTTTCTCTGTCTAGGTTCTCAAACCACCCTTAGTGCTATGGTACGCTGATTTATTTGGGGGGCGCAAGTGAATAATGCATTCCATTTTTGCTTCCCATTCTTTACACCCACCCGTTGGGAAGGGTTGGGGGTGGGTATGCGTGTGGTTTAGTTTGTTGAAGGTGTTTATTTGTTTAAGGACTTGGATGGATTTCCACGTTCTCAAGTAGACCTTTTCCGCCTCTAATGCTGATCACCAGATTTATGGCCCTTCTGTGATTGGTCCCATCCCTTATCTTACAGCATAGTTGCAGTAGGCTTCCTGCTTATGAAACCTTTCTCCCAAATAATTAAACATGGAGTGAATCATATGATATAAGGACACATTAGACTGTTTGTCACCCAGTACATTCAGAGCTGTTTAGAAATCTGCAAAAAAAAACCAAAACCAAACTGAACTGATACTTGAATTTTCAAATTCAGATGTTGCATATATCCAGTATTGCTAAAAGCAGGTATTATAAAGTTCAGTGCCTCCTCCAGCAATAATGAAACCATCTATGCATTGGGTGGAAAAGTAACTTATGACTGTACAGTTCAAAGCTGAAACACTGGTAGTTGGTGGACTAGTAGCTGCTCCAAATACCATCCCCAAGCAGAGATGGCAATATGCCAGTTTTATATATCTATGTCTGCACAGTTTTATATATCTGTGTCTACACAAGCGAGCTGTGGCAAAACAAAGGAGAGTATATGAACAAATTATGACAACTAATGTAGCTACCTCCAAGTGCAGCAATGAACTGTCACAGAGATATAATCCAAACAGACTACTGGGATGAAAAACATGGCTGGTAGCAAGTGATGTTTTATTACTCTATGGAAAAATGCAGAAGGAAAAAAAACCATGCAGATGTGTTAATTAGCTTAGAACAATCAAAACTAAAACTGCCTATGAAATTATTATTATATCACTATATATAAGCTTTTTTTCTAATATACAAATATATTGTCCACAAAGTAAAACATGAAAAGAACATTAATTTTACAATCTGAAGCATCTGGAGGTTAGGAAATGTCAGAATTAAGGTTGCCTGTGCAATTCAGCATTGTGTTATACTCTAATTACTTGATCATACAATTATTTTTTCATGGGGTCCCTGACTTAGTGCACAAGATAGGCAGTACTCACTTAGTGAGCAATTTTACAATATTTGATTTTATCCTCATTCAGTGTATGACACCATGTGTTATTTCCACATCATGCAGTCTGTGCTGAATGTAGAATTGTTCCTTTTGTCAGTGGCTTTATTACTGCAGTAGCTGAATGCTTCACAAGAATCCAAAGAAGTAAGGTAGAGTTATTATCTGAATTTTACCCATGGAGGATGTAGTCAAGTCTCCAATAATTCTGAGTGCCCAGTTTGATAAGCTTTAGGCCTGATTTTTCAGATGTGTGGTATCATCTACCATTTTTTATGTTCTTAGTACAGTTCATATTTACTTCAGTTCTAGTTCTGAATGGCAAGCACGTCTGCAAATGTGACTTGTTGTGACTCAGATTCTAGAAAATAAAGAATGTATTCTCATTTACATGACCTGCCCAACACCACATGCAAATTGTATGGCAGAAGCAGGAGTACAGTCACGTTCTCCTGAGTGCTACTGAGGAACTTTGGTAACCATGAAACATGAAATCATAGAAAATTAGGGTTGGAAGAGATCTCAGGAGGTCATCTAGTCCAACCCCCTGCTCAAAGCTAGATCATCCCCAACTAGATTATTCCAGCCAAGGCTTTGTTTAGCCAGGTCTTAAAAAACTCCAAGGTGACCTGGATACCATTGGTTAAAAACCTCTTAAAAACCTCTGGGTAACCTGTTCCATTATTTTACTACCCTCCTAGTGAGAAAATGCTTCCTAATATCTAACCTAAACTTCACTTGCTGCAACTTAAGACCATTGTTCTGTCACCTGCCACCACTGAGAATGGTCTAGCTCCATTCTCCTTTGAACCCCTCTTCATGTAGTTGAAGGCTGCTATTAAATCCGCTCTCTGTCTTCTCTTCTGTAGACTAAAGAAGCCCAGTTCCCTCAGCCTCTCCTCCGAAGTCATGTGCCCCAGCCCCCTAACCATTTTCGTTGTCTTGCACTGGACTCTCTCCAATTTGTCCACATCTTTTCTGTAGTGGGGAGCCCAAAACTGAACACAGTACTCCAGATGTGGCCTCACCAGTGCTGAATAGAGGGAAATAAACCCTTCCCTTGAGCTTCTGGCAGCACTCCTACCAATGCAGCCCAGTCTGCCGTTAGGCTTCTTGGCAACAAGGGCACACTGTTGGTTCATATTCAGCTTATTGTCCACTGTAACCCTCAGGTCCTTTCTGCAGAGCTGCTGCCCAGCCAGTCAGCCCCCAGCTTGTACCAGTGCATGGGATTGTTCCATCCTAAGTGCAGTACTTTGCACTTGTCCTTGTTGAACCTCATGGGATTCCTTTTGGCCCAATCCTCCAATTTGTTTAGGTCGCTCTGAATCCTAGCCCTACCCTCCAAAGTATCTACTGCTCCCCCCAGCTTGGTGTCATCTGTAAACTTGCTGAGGGTGCACTCTGAGCATGCTCCACCTACTGCTCTGAGCGCAGCCCCCATGCACCAAGAAAAGCTGGCACCCCTGCAGCCCAACCTGCCCTGCCCCACACAGATCTGGGGACACATCTGCCCCCCCTCCCGTGCCCTCCCAGGGTGCATACAGCAGTGGGAGCTGCCCCCCCCCCGCACCACCGAGACGAACCACAGCTTTGTCCCGTGCCCCACCCCTTCCCCACTCCCTCACTGTGGAGGGCATTCATCTGCCAGTGCACTCCCTTCCCTCCCTCCTTTCTGTCCTCCACGACAGACTTACCAGCTGCATGCAGCTCTCTATGCTGCTGGGCTGTGCTCCTCGCTACCTATGTGCTGCGCTGCAGCTGTGTGCATGCATAGGCATTTATCAGCCAAATTATCGGCCATGTTAGGCTGAATTCCGATACAATCAATGTTCTTTATATTGGTGCCGATCTGATATCAGACCAATGTATTGATGCACCTTTAATGTTTATACTTGTTTATACCCTTGATTGATTCTTTGAGTGAGCATTGGCCATGCAGGAGTTCTGTAGGTAAAGCAGTGTGTGTCATTTAAATAAAGAATAGAATCACAATAGAGACCATGCAGTTGCCCCAGTGGGAGAAAATGAAGGTTATACTTCATTTTCAATTTTGCAATCTTAATTTTTTTATTCTATTTATTTGCATAATTTTTTAAATATATTTTCCCAGATTTCTTAGAAACAAAACTGAAAAAACTCATTGCGTCATTTGGAAACCATGCTGACCACCACATGGACTGTCAGCTAGTTAGGGCTGTTGGATCTATATCACGGCTCTCTATCACTTAAGCTACTGGAGTACCAGCTAAGGTTAGGCTGTTACCATTTATGTGGACCAGGCAGTAAAAAGAAAGTGACACACCTTTTGTCCTAGAAGTTTAGACCAATTTACTGACAGCAGAGGGTTGCAGAGACTCCAGATTACTGGATTCAGGAGAAGGGGAGTGCTCTAGTGGTTACAGACCTTCTGTTTCTGCTTTGCTTGTACAGTTGCCAAATGGTAACAGATCTCTGCTGAGCATATGTGAATTGAGAATTCCATATATTCTGCACTTGGATGAATCTGATTGGAACTCCACAGGCACAACCGAAGGCACATTCCTGGCACAAAGCCATCAGCTTGCCAAATTTCAGTCCCTGGTCCAAAGTGTTCCAGTACTAGAGCTTCGCAATGAAGTGGTTATAGGATTTTGTTTAAAATGGACAAAGCAATAGGATTCCAAAAAAACTCAGCCATAGGCTGAAGGCATATGCCTATTATGGAAGAAAGCAGCCTAAGTAGTTAAAGTGAAAAGCAACTCCAGACCATGTTTTATGAAGGGAAATATTGGGAAAATTTAACTATGGGCAGTACTTTCAGCTGTTGCAGCATATGTTATCTTCCTGCCAACTGTATGCTTATTGGTATATTTTGCAAAATATTTTCTAATTAAAATGGATTTAAAAAGGTAGATCTAAATTTTTAATCAGTGCATGAAAATTTGGCAGTTTAGACACAATTAACTATTTCATAGTCAAGATTTTCAAAGTGTCATCCTGAAATAAGGTTTTAATGTAAGTAGCCAGATTTTCTCATGTTCTCAGCTCCTGTCTGTTGAATTGGACCTCCATTACAAACCTTCACCACCATTTAGGTCAGTACAAGTTTGGCCTACATCCTTGTGCTAGTACCTGTATGTGCTCTTAAAGCTTGGTATCTTTGCATCAGGGTATTTAAAGTGACTCTCCTGTCTTAAAATTTCAAAGAGCTACCTCATTTTCAGGATGATAATGTAAAAAAATTCTCTCTTTTGAGTCCTCCTCTTTTCTTTAAATGTGTTCTAAATATGCTGCACTTCTTGTAGTAGATTGGATGAGTTGGAGCCCTTCATAAAAAACGTGGTACACAATATGCTGATGCCAAAGGAAAGACTCCCATTGATTTCAGTGAGCTTAGCTCTGGATCAGACTCATGGGGTGCACCTGTATAGGGGACGAGAGAAGCCAATACAACAAACAAAACTTACCTAATGTACTTGTGTCATTCAGACAAAGAGAGTCACAAATAATGATTTTTAAAGAACAGTGCTTCATATCATTATTATTAAAGTCTGTTACTTAATACAAAAGTAAAAGTAAAATGCATGAATGAAAGTATGAATTGCTTGAACTAAAGCTGCCCAAATATCACTACTCAATGTTTTGTCTAGCTTTTCATTGGAATTTCCTATTTTAAGGATTTAAAAGTTGCTGAATAGAGTCCTGTTCTCAGAGAGGAAATGCAGATACCAGGGCAGAGAGCAGGGATCAATCACTGGAAAAAATAATTCAAGCATTTTTGTAATTACAATGCTAAAAAAAACAGCCTTTTTTTGTTAAATTGTTTAGAACTCTAAACCAAATTTGATTCTATTATGACATTTCAAAGGTATTTATAACTAAAATGGGCTCTCCAACCACTGAAAAATGGGGGAAGGGGAGCTATGTTTGTGCCCAGCAACTTTTGATTGTGCCTATAAAACTAAAATATGCATTGCTGCACTCAAAAGAATACCAGTTAAATGGGTTTCAGTAGAATTTCTTTTTCCTGAAGATTCAGTATGACTTTGTGCCAGCCATTATTTAATCTCTTCTCCAGCTCTGACTCTGCCTGCCTGTGAACTAGCTTTTTTTAATTTTCTAGTTATGTACTAATGTTTATCCTAAATTTGAGTCTGTGAACAAAAAAAAATGATCTGAGCATTTTAAATACACATATGTTTCATTAAAAACTATGGCAAAAGAAAAGATGTAGTAAAAGAAACAAAAAAAACAAGAAATTCAAAGGAAAGGGTAAACTTTTCTAACATCCTGATCCAGCAGAACACTTAAGCATATGCTTTACCTTATACAGTGAAATAGTCTCACTCCTACTCAGTTCAATAGGATTACTCCTGTACCTAAAGTTAAGCACATGTTTATGCACTTGGCTGAGTCAGATCATAAGGGCCGGAGGAATTTAGATGTCTTAAGATGTTAGCAGGCAGCTAATGAGATTTACAGAAGGGCCTCATGAGGTTATAAACCTAAATATATTAAAAATGTTGGCTGTAAGTGTTTGGTAACTCCTAAGCTTAACAGTGTGTCTGGGTACGTGCAGTTCCAAATGTTCCTCTTTCTACTTGCAGGATGTGAATGCACCTTCTCATCCGTCATCCCCTTCAGTTTTCTTTGTCATTATTTGATACCACAGCATAAAGAATCTGTTTCTGGGGAACAAATTGTATATATCCTTGCTGTGGAGAAAAGGAAATATGGCACCTCTGCTGACATGATATGGCATATTTGTTGGTAGAATTAAAATATTTTTCCTGTTGCTGTAGGTAGGCAGTTTCTAACACAACAGCTACTAATGTTAATGGAGGTGCTTTCCAGTAATCACCCTTGTGCAAACATGGGAGGAACCCACACAGAAATACTTGGAAGATTGCTAGAATTTTATTTTAGTTTGTTCATCACTTTTTAATTCATGAGGCGGTACTTAGAGAAAGCTAGTAGAAATCTCAGCACTTAAAAACAGAAGCAAGCTATCTAGCATTTTTCTTTCAGGGCATTGTCACGTGCTTGCTGGATATGTCATGAGTTTTAGTTTGGAGATGAAACTTCTGTTTTATTTTTGTGCATTCTTGTTTTTTTTTTAATATACTTGGCTTGTCTGAGACTACAGAACTGGGAAGACTGAGGATAGCATATAGCTCCTGAAATTATTGTTTTTCCATTATTTTCAGCTAAGAGCAATAAATGACATTATAGGCAAAATATAAAGCCCAGGCAGATATTAACATGGTAATCACAATATAAATCATAATATGCTACATGTTCAAAGAATTTTTAGTGGGATAAAATGGCAAACCAGCCACAAAGATGTTCCACATCTGGTTTGTATCAGGCTTTAAACTAAATGTGTGGCTTATGTTCTGGACACCTGATTGTTGGCACTGGGCATAGGGCAGCCTTGAATCCTGGACCCAAGACCTGAGGCTGCCCACTGGCAGATCCTACAGAGGCATCCCTAGGTCCTACACCTGAAAATTGGAGCTGCCCTCTTCCCTGCTGCACAGGACTTAACATGTCATTGTGCAGGGGACATTTAAAGCTGTAGCTGATACTACAGGGTGGGCAGCTGGGTATTGGAGAACTCCCAACCCCCAGCCATTGTGCAGCTGGGGACAGGAATTTTATACCTGATCCCAAAAATCACACGCTCTGTCATGAACTTCTGGTGTGGCAGGACTTTTGATTTTTGGAATCGGGCATAAAGTTTTTCAGATCCCAACTGCACAATTACATCAACATCTACCAGCAGCCTTAACATCATAAATATTTTCCATTATGTAGCCAGTTCTCTTTATTCTGCTTTTTCTCCCACACACAAATGTATGTGCCCACTAGTAATGCTTGTCAGTTCTCTATCTTTACTACAAACTCTGATACCAACTCAGTAGAATATGCAGTATTTTCACACATGCATCCTGTTCCAGAATATAATACACACTTTGGTTTTGAAAGGCAGAATGAAGGAAAAAGAGATGGTTCCAGAATTATGGCAGCATAGAGCAGAGGCAGAGCATTATCCTCTGCTAGCTCCCTCTTCCTTTCCCATTAATTAAAGCTGAATCCCTAGCTGCTGCTGAGGATTAGTCTCAATGGGTGATGATTTTTGAAGAGAGCTAAAGAGTTGCTAAGGCTCTGAAATAGCAGGAGAGAGACCAGAGGCAGCTACCAGACAGCAAAAATGCCCTTTAAAAGGTTAGCTTGGGTAGTGGAACATCAAGACCATTAAAAAGGAGAGAGGATCATTAACACCTGTGGAGTCAAGAACAAAGAGTCATTAAGTCAATTGACTCCCTCTCTCCCTGTTACTATTCAACTGCCCTGAATAGTAATATAATAGCTGCTGTACTGAGGAGCAGGAAACAAAGCAGGGTTCTTCTATCCCTGGCAGAAAATCAGCTTCCCTGCTTAAAACACTAATCTCAATTTGGAGGGAAAGGTATGTGTTGTATGTGAGAAAATATGGTATTATTTTGGGAAAGGAATGATTTAGAAGGTACAAATTCACTTCCATAGAGTGCCTGGGTTTATGCTCATAATCTGACTCTGCATAAATGTGCTCATCTTTGACCTCATACTTCACCAAATTTTGAGAGAAAAATATATTATAGATTGTAATACTTTTTTGTGATAAACATTTCTCCACATACTCTTAAGTCTTACCACATATGCTATTAGGAGGATATAAGTACACAGAAAGCAAACTAACTGTGTATTTTTTGGATGTTACCATTTATGGGCTGGAACTTTTAAATATTCATAAGTGGTGCCATTGAAATCGGTGAGGTGGCATTATTAGCAGTAGGTAAATGATTTAAAGAGAAAGGTGCAGAGGAAATTAAATGTATTGTGCTATGAAAGCTCATAGTTTCTTCTTTTTATTTCCATTAGCCAAATGCAGACTGCATAGACGATATACCTCCAGATTTTGAAGCTTCCATAGGTGGACCTCCAACCAATCAGATTACAGGAGCTAGTGATATAACTGTGAATGAAAGCTCCGTAGCTTTGGATCCTCCTGTCCGGACCGTGGGAGTGTTACAAGTCATCCAGGATGTAGATCCCTTTCCCCAGGTTGGGGAGGGTAACTTCACAACAAGCAGTAAGTTTCTACTTTGAGTAGTTTGCACTACTTGTCATCTAAAAGCATTATGCAGAAACTGAAATAACAAGGCAAGTTTTGGAGGGCATTTTTTCCCCTGGAGTGTTTTCATTTCTTTAAATTTGGCTGAAATCTAGAGGAGATAAGGAACTTGGCTTAAAGTGGCAACCTTGAGTATCATGTAATACTACTCCATCACACCCTTCCCAACACTGTACCAGTGAATGTATTAAATATGATAAACAGCAAAATAAAACTGAAGAATCTCTGAACAAACTATATAAAGCAACAAGCAATAGATTGAAGTGCTATGGTCATCTTTGGAATTTACTTCAGTACATGTGAACTCTTTCACCTTGTTCTTCTATGATAACCTATACTTATGCTCTAGCTCGTATGTTTAATATGCTTGTTAGATGCATTTTCTGCTTAGTTGAGCTGGTCCTTTTCTCCTTGTCTGGCTTAATTCAAAATACTGTTTTTACATGGGTGGCCAAATCACGTGACACTCTTAAAAATAGAAAGGAAATACTGCCATTGTTTACTTATTCATATATTAATTCCTGAATTTGATTTTCTTTAGTTCTTGCTTATTATTTATTCTCAGAAGTCACTTATTAGTAACTGATTATTTGAGCTTGAGCCATTTGTGTGCAAATCATTAACTCTGAGGCATTCACATCTCAGAAGTGTTGTGTTCTGCAACTCCCAGATCTGTCAAGCTTTAAACTAAATGTGTGGCATATGTCCTGGACACCTGATTGTAGCTAGGAGAAGGAGGACGTTTAGCAATTCCAGATATACTTAAAATGGGAAGCTATTTGTGCTTCAGTAGCATAATACAAAAGATGGGGTTATAAACATTTTCTCTATTGTATGTTCCCTAACTTTGTAATTCAGAAACAATATATGTTGAATTTCTTTATGCCTTTTCATTATTTTCTTTATATCACTTGGAGTTTTACAGGCTCATGTTATTGATATCTATTCATCTTTTCAAAAGGAGTATTGGTCAGAAAGCCTATACTGAAAAACAGATATTTTTTAAAATTCAACAAGTAACAGTTTACTAGTTGTTTGTCCAAAAAGAAAACATAGTAGCAGTAATAGATGTTTTTACCCTGTTTTTTCCTAGTAATTTTTACTTTTTAAATGGATACATGTATACTAACAATCCCCAAATACCATCCCCTCTCCCTAAATAACATCTTACATTAAAAAAAAGCTTGTTAGTTCAAATGAGTGTTAGAAATTCTCACTTTTGTCCAAAAGTGAAAGGCAACTAAAAGGCATCTTTCTGAGCAGTTAATCTATACTTATGTGTATATGCACATGCAGGTGTATGTGTGCTTGCATCATGGGTGTGCTTGTGGGCAGAAAACACCCATGTGCCTGCATGACCTAGGATACAAGAACGTGACAAATACTAGTTTAGGTACAGGACTTGCCAAGATCCTAGGCTTGTAGGTATTTTAATCATCACTGTCATCACCCTTGCTTAGATATTTTATTACTTTTTGTGAATGGAAAAAGAAGGAAAATAAAATGAGGTCCAAATGAGAAATAGCAAAAGCAGAGACAGCGTAGGGTGGGCAGCAGCAGCGAGGAGACCCCAGCATTGATCTCTGCTCCTTGCAGAGCCAGGTTGTGTGGCAGGGCAGTGCTGGTCCCTGCAGCACGACCTAGCTCTGCAGGAAGCAGAGATCTGCTCCGGGGTCTCCTCACTGCTTCTACCCAGCTCGCGCTGTCTCTGCTTTTGCTATTTTTCATTTGAACCTCATTTTATTTTCCACTGCCTGCCCCACACTGCTCCATCTCTCTGCTCCCTGCGAAGCCAGGTTGCACAGCAGGGACCAGCACTGCCC